ACAAGCTTGATGGTAGGATTCCTGAGGAGTTGACAAGTTTGACATTCCTTTCAGTTCTGAACCTCTCACACAACAAACTTGAAGGTGACATTCCTCACGGGAAGCAGTTCAATACTTTCTCAAATGATTCCTACATTGGAAACTCTGGGTTGTGTGGATTCCCATTGACAAAGAAATGCCACAACGAGGAAGAACCAAGAGCACCTCCATCAAAATTTGATGAAGATGATGACTCTGCAGTACTATTTAATTGGAAGTTTGCAGTGGCGGGTTATGGATGTGGGCTGGTGTTGGGACTTAGCCTCGGATACATCGTGTTCGTAACAGGAAAACCATGGTGGGTGGTGAACAAGGTGGAAAAATATCAACAGAAATTTGTCAGAAGGTGCACCCATCGGCATAAGAAGAGAAAAACCCAAAAACCCAACCAAAAACCCAACCAACGCTCTTAGGTGAGTTTCTACAGCCTCTTTTTATTTGTGCTCCTTCTTCTAAGCATAACAATGGATAGAATAGTCGTAATAATTTTTGTAATTTTGCTTTCTTTTCCACAGCAGAAGCAGGCAGTTGGCTTTCTTTCTTCCTCCAAGAAGTTCTGACAAAAATAATGTGTGCATAAGTTTAATTAGTTGACAGCATAAGCTACAGGCAGTTACTCTTTCTTTATGTGATTGTTATTTCCTTTTTATGTTAATTATTATTATTTCATGTTCAATGTTTGTTGAAAATTTTGGCTATAAACTGGATGTTTTTGATGTTAAGACTTTACCAAGTTTTCTTCCATTCCTTTCGTTTTAACGGTGCGTTTTAATGAAAGAAAAGATTTTTTTTCCCTTTTTTAATATGTGGGCCTGTTATCTTCTTCCTTTTACCGTACTTCTCTCTGAGCAATTAAAAGAATTAATGCCGGAAGTGGACGCATCCGAAGGATGTGGGTTGCAAAATTGCAATTGTATCGCCTGTGAGGGGCTGAGCGATGACGCATCTGGTCAGGATGGCTGACGGTCCTTTGCGCTCTGGACGCCCACTCTGTTGACATCGCTAACTAAAATCTTTTTCTCGTCCTTGGGTGGTCTGATCTGGATGAATGCAAGTGAAGATCCGACCCAACCTGTCGTCTAGTTGCTGGATTTTGACGAGATTAGGGTAGCGGCTGTCGGCACATATTCTTTGGCTAGTGATCTGATTCATAGACAGGTAAGAAGCTGGAATTTTTTTTTTTTTTTTTTGTTTTCATTTTTGGATTTTAAACTCTTGTATTATGTTGTGATTGGGAGTTGTGCAGTATTGGATTGCATAACTAAATCTGTTGGATGGGGTAGGTCGGATCCCGTCACTGTGTTAACATGTGATAATTTCTTTGAAAAAATTATGTGTATATGTAGGGTTACCCAAAATATAGAAAATATGAATTACTTAGTGGGTGAGTAAGTGTTGGATAAATGAATGGTTTTTGCTTAATTACCTAACTGGATGGTATGTTTTGTATTTTGTAAACTCAAAAATCAGATAATTGTTTTCTACTTGCGAAGATTGAAATAAAATGTTTGTTCCTAATGAGATCAGAATATCTGAAACAAAATATCTACATTAGCGTTTACTTATTTCTTTTCATCCGAAACAAAAATGTCTTCACCTGCTGTCATTAACATAGTGTTTATCTTGATGAATTATTTCTTTTCATCCCTTCTGGTGATGTGGAGTTTGTTTCAATGAAGGTCTCAAGAACCCAACAAGAGAGGCTCAAGAGAATCCGGAATATTCTTATGGGAGATTGCCATATTAGTTATGGAATGTTAGTGGGTATGGATCATGTACTGATGCAGCAATCACTGGCATAAATGCCTCCTCCATTGATGTAACTCCAGTTGATTCCTTATGTAACTTGGTTTAATTAGTTCACAAATGTTGTATAGGAGTTTTTCTGATGGTCTAACGTTCTGTTGGCTATACATGGTTTCTGGAAAACAGTTTAAACATATAAAAGATTTCTTTCCCTTGTTTCATTTTGCATTTCTTCCTACTTGTTTGTGGTTCATTTCTTGTAATGCTGCTTGCTCTTTCTTAACTAATGAATAATGGAAACTTTATGAAGTTATTCTGTTATTTGAATCCAGCTTGCTTTTATTGTTGGGCAGTTAATGTTGACAGTCACTGTTGGAGATGATACAGTAATCTCAGCATTCAGCCTTCTAGGTCAGTTTGCAAAATGATGTGTAGCTCATTTCATAATAGATTGTGACAAATATTGATTCTTTTGTGGATCTTCCTGTTACATCCTAGTACAGGTAAATTCTTTAGGGTTCCCTTGGAAACATTTTATTTATTTTATTAAAACATTTCCCCAC